CCCAGATTCTCTTCATTCCAAGGCTTTATACACAAAGTCTGAGTTCTGGAAACCTGAATTCCTAATATTTGAAAGCACATTTCCGTGAAAATGCCACCTGAATTAGCCGGGATTGTCAGTATTACCAGTATTTTCATCATTTCTCAGCTTTCCCCTGGAAACCTCCTTGATTGAATACGGCAGTGAATGTATTAACAATCTATTTAGCCGAAACCGGTTTGGCTCAGTGGATAGAGCGTCGGCCTGCGGACCGAAAGGTCCCGGGTTCGATTCCGGTCAAGGGCATGTACCTGGGTTGCGGGCACATCCCCAGTGGGAGACGTGCAGGAGGCGGCTGATCGATGTTTCTCTCTCAGCGCTGTTTCTGACTCTCTATCTCTCTCCCTTCCTCTATGTAAAATCAATAAAAAATATATTAAAAAAATTTTTTTTGATTTTAAATGTTTTTTTTTTAAATTTGCCAGCTTTATTTTTCTATTTATTTTTTTAATCCTCACCCAAGTATATTTTTTCATGATTTTTAGGGAAAGTGGAAGAGAGAGGGAAAGACAGAGAGAAACTTCAATGTGAGAGAAACACATTGATTGGTTGCTTCCTGCACGAGCCCAGACCAGGGACTGGGCCCGGGCGGAGCCTGCAACCAAGTACATGCCCTTTGGTCCATAGGCCATCGCTCTACCACTGAGCCAACCGGCTAGGGCTGCCAGCTTTATTGTTTTTACTTTATTTTTATTGTTGACACAGATGTCTTAATCTCCCCCTCTCCTCGCTCCACCCCTCCATCCCAATCCCCTTTGCCCACCTGCACCCAGCCCCACCCCCCTCCAGCCATCACCACACTGTTGTGTCTATGAGTTATGCATATATGTTCTTTAGCTATTCCCTTCCCCTTCTTTCATCCACTCCCCCATCACCCCTGATTTTGTAAGTTTTTTAAGGGATAGAATAAACTTAGCAAATAATAGTTATTAAAAAAAAAATACACACACACCAGAGAAAACCCCCAAATAGCCTTAGGCCTGAAATACTATTCCCAAATGACTGTCAGGGATAATATTTTAGTAAAATAGTAATTTTAGTTATCTTTACAGAGGTGTTGCTTACATAGACTTTTCTTCATTTCCAGGCTTATGATTGTTTAATATTTCCTTTCATATCATTTCCCCAGAACATGTTTTCTTACTTGCCCAGTGATTTCAGGCTTTACAGATTTGTTTCATGGTTCAGTTTTTAAAGAGGTGTCTTTGTAATTGAGATGAGCATATAGTGAGCTGGTGCTGGGGTGTTTCAGCTTCCAATATTAAACTTAAGGGACTTCTTTAAAATGGACACAAAAACTTCATGAAAGCTTTCATGCTGACAACACTGGGCCTTTAGGGTTAAGCTCTAAGAATGAGAAAACAAAGGGTTGTTATTGTAAGTTGCTTGGTTAATCTAATTTATTCACATATTTAACCACAGTCAGCATGTAGTTGTTTTCCTCCAAGAGGCCCACTTTCCAAAACACAATTTTAAGAATGTTTTCTTTCCCCACAGGCTCCTTGTGTTCAGTTAACCCAGTGGTTCTCAACCTCTGGCCCTTTAAATGCAGTTCCTCATGTTGTGACCCAACCATAAAATTATTTTCGTTGCTACTTCATAACTGTAATGTTGCTACTGTTATGAATCATAATGTAAATATCTGATATGCAGAATGGTCTTCGGCGACCCCTGTGAAAGGGGCGTTCGACCGCCAAAGGGGTCGCGACCCACAGGTTGAGAACTGATAACCCTGTTTTTTTAAGCCAGCGTCTTGCCTGTGGTTACTTGCCACCTAGCAGAACCTTGGTTGTGAGTGGACTCTGTAGGCCTGTTTTGGGTGGATGCTGAGCCGCCAGTAAGTTCTCCCCTGTATTAATCCAATACACTTGTTTATATGGCTGCCCTCTTATTTAGGAGCCATAACAACACTGAAACGAAGGGATTCAAGGCAAAATCCCCCTTCGGAGGAGCCCACTATTTATTTCCTAGACCAGTGGTCACCAACCTCTCAGACCTCCCAGACCCCTAGTAAGTGACCGCTGTCCTAGACAACACAGAAAGCAGAAGCAGAGGATTTTTCAGGTATCTGTCAACTTCTTTTGGAAATCATTAATCTTGGAAATCAGTACAACTGTTCTTATCACCTACCATTTTCCTTATTGTGGTAATTAGTGGCTTTAGGAATTTAGATCAGTGTAATGAGTAATAAAAGTTTTAAAATAGTCGCTTCCCCATGCCTCTTCTGAACTTCATTCTTAGTCCTGGGGAATATTTTTCTCTTTCACCCTGGTTTTAAGCACTCGTTTGTTTTAAGGAACTGCCCTCCAAATAGGATGCTAATGTCTCTTCTTGGCACCCGTGTCCAACTCCAGCCTATTTGCAAATGTCATGTACAAATATGGGATTTTTTGTTCCTGCCTGATTAGCAAAGTGATCCAATTTTCCTTCTGAGCAGTATTTTATGTAGGATGAGACTGTTTTGGGCAAGATGTTTTTCCTCCAGCGTTTCAGAATCCCACCTCTGACTCTTCCTTGTGTAACATATAGGCTTAGTTATGGAGTTCCTAAGCTCTGGTGAATTCTGCAGGTGAAATGTACAGTGTCAGCAATATAATGTTATCTTATAGGTGTTGCTACTTATAAAACCTTGGATTTCAACTGGCTTCGTTCCAGAGTTGTTTAAACAATTACAAAGTTTTAGGTTATGTTTCTTGGCCATTTTTATTTTATGTTCAACAGGAAAACTGTCTTAATAAAGGATTAGTAAAAATGCTTACACCAAACAATGAAATCAAAGGGTAATTTATTTAAAAAAGAATCAAAACAGAAACTCTAAGTACCAGTGTGTACATTGTACACATTTAAATGACTCACAAGAATGAAGTTTTTTCATATACATTAAGATTACACCACCACGTTATGTTCTCAAAAGGTGTTCAAGGATAAATCTGACTCCAAACTGCATTGCCATCTTAAAGTGACCACATTTCAAACATGCAACAACGCCACTGGTAATAAAGCTTTGGAATGGGTGCTCATTCTCTTATTTCACTACAAACATGATAGAAAGAAGGTAAGTTGAGAATTTGCTCTAAAATACAATGGGAGTTGTAGTCTACACCAGCACTCCTCACTCCTCCGCTGCCATTTTTAGCAAGTACTCCTTGTCGATCTTGAAGAGTCTCCATCCCTCCTCGCTGGACAGATCAGAGGCGCCTCTTTTTTTGTAGAAGTTGATAGATGGTTTATTCCATTCTGCTACCAGGAAGTGCATGCTGCTGCAGCGACATTTCATCGCAACCTGTTGTATAGGGGAGAGTAAAATACAAACTCAGTGACATTTTACCTGCTTTCCAGGATCCAGTTTTGATTCAGTCGTTAAAATAAAATCATCTAGTTAACTCTTACAAATTCAGGAACCAAAACCCAAAACGTACCTGGCTTAGATTCTTCAGAATTTCTGATCCTATCCCAAAGCCTAAAAGAAAGAGAAGTAACCATTGAGAAAAAAGTCACTTGAAGGACTTCAAGCCCCAATTTCTCTTTAGAGCCACCCTTCTGAACTCAACCATACCTCTAAAATCACTCATTACGAAGAAGTCCTCAAGATACAAGAGTTTTCCAATCCATGGGTCATAGGTAAAATAGTACATGGCGAAACCAACAACGCTGTGTCCTGTAATCAGAGTATCGTATGAGCTATGGACAAAATGGACTCATAAAAGTTGTAGTTGCAAAATCCAAAGCCTACCATAGGTTTTAAAAATATACATGCATGTATTAGCGAGAATGCTTTCATTACTTGCCAGAGCAAAACTGCTATAGTCTTAAACTAAAGCCACACATTATTCACATCCTATTGATATACTGGAATGGTGACTTGGGGATAAGGCTTACACGGCAGTTCAGAATAGTAAATATTTGTAGTTTAGAAACCCTGCTTCCTTAAGGTCAGGACAGTAGGCCAAAAGTGCAATATTTAATTTCAGAACTTGCCTTCCATTTAAAACATTTTCAATTTGCTCTCCCCTGTTTTTAAGCCAGAAGCAGCAGAGATATTCAGAAACAGGTATTATGTAACATCCACATATCTCTTAAAAAAATACTTCATCCTTTATGCTTTCTGCTCATTTCTTCTAGCTTGGGGAACAGACTTCGGGGGGGGGGGGGAGTAAGCACCTACTCAAACAACTTCCCCTTTTAGTTCTGTGTTGTTTTTTTTTTGACCAGTTAATAGGGACCAGCAAAATAAATAAATAAAATAAGACTCCCTTTTACTGAGTGTCTATAATTTCAAATGGAGGCAAAGGTTTCAAATTAAACTTTCTTGGCATTTGATAGTCCTTTGTAAACATAGGAAGCGAGTAGAATAGAGTTTCTGATCTACCGTGTTTAATATCTACCGTGTGATAGTAGGGCCTTACCTCATTTTATCATGATCATCTACTTTATTGTGTAAAGGATCTTTTAGTTACCTCCCCGCCCATCCATGTACACGGAAGGGCCATGTACATGGCGAAGCTAGAGACTGTAACCTGAAGATTGGGACAAATTAAGAAAAAAAGTGATTTAACAGCATTACAAAAATAAGAGGTTACGATAGGGTCAAACAAGAACCATTTATGAAACTGAATTATAACAAATGACATACCTAAGTCTTTTGGACCTCCACAGCACTAATACTTACTTTTAAATATATATTTTATTGATTTTTTTACAGAGAGGAAGGGAGAGAGATAGTTAGAAGCATCGATGAGAGAGAAACATTGATCAGCTGCCTCCTGCACACCTCCTACTGGGTATGTGCCCGAAACCAAGGTACATGCCCTTGACCGGAATCGAACCCGGGACCCTTCAGTCCGCAGGCCGATGCTCTATCCACTGAGCCAAACCGGTTACTGCTAATACTTACTTTTAAACAGCTCAAGTACTTCCGGTCTCCACGGCACTCTGATACTTAAATAGCTCTTTTAACCCGCCCTAATAAGCGTAGTACATCTACTTTATTTCCTCATTAGTTGAACACTGGCTGGCTATTACTTCTGGCCACTTCTCAGTAACTTAAAGCCTGTGTTGTCAGTAGTTCTACACAGCAGACTATGTTTCTAGAACACTAGGTCTCTGGTTTCTGGAGGGGGAGGGCGGTTTACCTTCCGGAGTGATGTGCTCCTTGGATACTTCTGCCACCAGGCAGTGGTAGAAGGGATGATCTCCGAAACCATCCTCCAGCAGATCTGCGAGAAAGGGCAGTGGGGACAGACCGTGTTGGCCTCGGGGAAGGTGACAGGCAC